GTTAAGATACGGAAGGATCCTTTGCACCATCCCATGGAAACTCGGAGCCCTAACTCCCTATCCTACACGCTATGCGCTATCCTAAACCCTAAAACTCTAAACCCAAACCCCGGCCTTAGGTTGTGACCCTTCGCACACCCCGCCCGCCACTCAGAGTGAACGCTTATTCGAACTGACGAAGTGCTCAGCTTCTGCCGCATGCTGTATTGGAAAGCTTCATGGAGGTTAAGCTGCAGAAGGATCATTCGCACTATCCCGAACCACACATGGGAACTCTCAACCCTAACGCCCCGCCCTAAACCCTACCCTAAACCCTGAACCCCAAACCCTAAACCCTAATCCCCGGCTCATGACCCTTTGTACACACCGCCCGGCCCCACTATTATTCGGACTGACGCAGTGCTCATCGCAATAGCTTTAAGCCCTAAACCCTTTAAATTGTGGGAACCCCAAACACGCATCACTGCCGCCGCCTCTGCCGCCACCACCACCACCGCCGCCGCCGCCGCCGCCGCCGCCGTCGCACCGCCCCATCTCCTGCCACCGTCGCTGCCACCATCCCTTGCCACCGCTTCTTGCCCAGGCCCGAACTCGATGATGGACTTCGGCTTTTTCGTCAGATGAGATGGCGAAGGACACTCCTGGTCGTCGTTGTGGGGGCTAGAACTGAGTATCCTATAGCTCTACAAGGTTAGGTTTCAATTGCAGGGATTGGCATCACTTCGAGTTCGGGCTGGGGTTTTCCCAGCCTACCCAAACCTCTACGTCCTCTTATTGTAGACTTGCGGGGTTTAAAGTTTAGCTTTAGGGAAGAGGGATGAAAGGGAGGTGTTTTCTTAGCTGGTTCACATGTCGGGGTTGATCTAAAGCTCCTCAATCAAGGCCATCCCATTCCTTGTACCCAAGCCCGAAACCCATCCCCAAACTTCCACCCACGATTAGCAAACCCTGATGTAGCTTGCCTGCCCTAACTCACTTTTGTATCATTGTAAGAAGGCCCGATCCACTCCATACTTAGGGGATACTAGTGTAGGGGGATGAACCTATTGTATCCTTATTGTTGCGAAAACAACATAACCCTTGCATGAAATAATGGAGTTCCGCAACATTTCGGGCTTCGCAGCTACCGGTTGCTTCTTTGTGGTTAGTATGTGGTCCGTATATCACTTAGTGTCACAGGTTGTAGTTTGCATTCGATTGCCGGTAATTTGATGTGAGCTAAGGCACTCTGCACAAGGCCAATTGGCATTAGCTCAGGCACTTCGCATATACTCCCTAGCCACAGTAACGGCATCACCTTCCATGCCACAGTAGCGGCATCAACTCCCATTCCTTAGCCACAGTGACGGCATCACCTCCCATGCCACAGTAGCGGCATCTCCCATTCTTAGCCACAGTAACGGCATCACCTTTAATGCCATTGTAACGGCATTATCTTAATGCCATTTTAACGGCATACTTAATCATCAAGTAGGATAGGTCATCCTGCAGACTCCTGCACTCGTCGCCTCCGCCATGAGCTTCGACGGCTGGCGCCAGCTCTACTATGGCGGACGCAGAGGGGGCAGAGCGCCTGGTTTACCGAAGGCCGGATCTCAATCAAATCCCCCTTTGAACCCTTGGTCCTGGTTGTTCCCAAATTAAGTAATGCAGGCGAAGGCAGCGCCAGTCGCTGGGACGGGTTTCAATTCAGTTTAGGCCTTGTCTTTACTCCGCATTAATTAAGTCTATAGACTTAGAGGCCTGTTTAAGGTCTCGGGAAATTGAACCTAAGGTTGTCAGACCTGATCTGCCGATCCCTGTACCGAAATCGGCGCCGCAAGTGGTTCCGCCAAGGTTTCGCGAGGAGGAAACACCTGCTGTGGCTCCGGTGGCTTTTCCGAGTGTCACCCCAGAGGTGGAGGCCGAGGAGAATGTGCCATTCTTGGAGTCTGTGCCAGTTCGGCCAGAGAGGCCGCCACTGCATGAGCCTGCTGAGGAGGTGCCGGTCCCGACTGGGGAACCTTCATCTGGGAGCCGAAGAGCAGCGTTGCCAACTGTACCATGGCATTCAAATTCATTTCATCTCTTTAAATGTTAAAGAGTTCCATTTCCCTAGCCATCCCTAGCCCTAGCCATCCCTAGCCCTAGCCCTGCCAAAGCGCCGCAGGCCGCTGAGTTCTTGACTCCATTGTGCGAGGAGTACCCTGTCATCATTGAGACGACCCCGCATGGTGACTGGGAGCACGTTGTCCTTCAATCTGGCCAGACTATGTGGGTGAACTACACTGCGAAGATCATCTCTGAATTGCAGCCCAGAGACCTGCCTGTTGCACCTCGACAATGTAGTAGTATTATTGGCCTTGAACTTTGATAGCTAATTGCTATCAAAATATCTACATAAATTAAGCATACATCGGAATTCTTAGAGATTAGGAGTCACCCTAGGTCAGCGAAGTGCCACAGCCACCTGGGATCGATGCACTGCGGCCATATCAGCTATGGAGGATCCATCTGAACTTCTCTGCGAAGTACTTTCTCGATCCGACCTCCCTGCGCGTCAAGCCTTTTTCAGAGCTTGCTTCTTCTCCTAATCAAAGTATAAGTTTTGGGTTGAAGAGTCCAAGGGTTTTGTTATTCAAGTTTAGGGTTGAGTTCTTGATCTTCGTAACAGTGCATTAAGGAAGAGCAGCTGCGTATTGCCCGTGAGACGATCAATGCTGATCTGAGGGCCAAAGCTCGCGCTGCGCAACAGGTTGCAGAGGAGGCCGAGAGGAAGAGGAGGAGGAAGGGCTCCTACATGGTGGCGGAGAGGCCGCGATGAGCCGCTGAGAAAAAATGACCGGTGTGCTTTCAGCGCTGCTAGGTTGTGGGAGTGTAGTTGGAAACATGAACATGCTGCTCATTTTTCTTTCCTGCAGGACTTTGGCTTCTCGATCTGCAGAGGTTTGCTGCGACCTCAGCTGCCTCTTTGAGCCAAGCATTCAGGTAGATTTACTTGTGGCACTTCTCATGTTTACGCGTCTCCTGTCTGTCATGCTTGCTGCTGTCTGCACTCACCTCCTCCGCCGTGTGACTCACCCTTTGACTGGTGTATTGGGGTTCGAGTTTAATTGCACGCCTGGATTGGTCGAGGTGGGCTTGCTGCTGATTCCAGATTCAGATCGGCCTGGCGCTTGGTAGCCAAGCATGTGAGACTGTGAGACCCCAGCATGGATTTATCCGGATTGGTTGATTATATGAATTCTTGCTAGATTCGTGATCGGTTGGCTTGTGATCCTCACAGGTAGTCGGAGTGTAAAGTAAATGTAACGCGGCTTGAATCTTCTAGATTCTGAGCCCATTGTGTTTCAGGTCATTAAATTATGTTAATATCCATAATAAAATTAATATTAATGTGTTCATTGCAAAAAGAAGTCTAGTATAGAAAGCGGGTCTGTTAGTATAGGAATATGTATTGTTCTAAATACAGCGAGGCTGCTAGTACTCTGTATACTGCTTGACCCGTTTTGTATACTAACGATGCCTTTTTCTTACCTGGTATAGGAAATGCGTTTTACGGTATAGGGGTTTCATTGTTTGGTGTGTCATGAGAGCAGGTCAACATATGTGGCTATACTGCTGGTCATGTTTTCTATACTAATAAGCCTTCATAGAATATTAGTATAGGAAACGGGCTCCTCAGTATAGATTTGACTATTATCCTTATATAAGAGGGCCTCAGCCCATGCTGGCTATACTGGACGTAACGTTTTCTATACTGGGAGATTCGTTTTGCATTGTCAGTATAGGAAACGTGCTTCTTGGTAAAGATTTCAAATGAGTGTGAGTCTGATTGATAGGGTATCACCAAGGAGCTATACTAAGATTCACGTTTCCTATACTGAGCTTGCTGGCTATTTGTTGTGAAATTAAAATTTCAGATCATATAGTATGCAATATATTATTTTCCAAACGTGTATACATGAACCGATCCAGCAGTCTTCATAGCAGATGCGAGGCATGTCCTAATAGCTTGCTAAAATAAATGAAATAATATTCTATGATGCAAGTATGTTGGGTGATGCGTGAACGTATTGTCAAGGCCGAATGCAGCGTCGATTGCCGTGTGTTGGCGGTGCTGCCGGGTGCTCAATGGCTTCACGCGTTGAAGCTTTTGCTTTAATCGGTTTCTGACTAGTGGTTTTTCCCTTCAACCAGCCCGGATGCTTTCGATGGTTAGTATAGGAAACGTAATTATTAGTATAATATCTAGGTCATGCGTCAACAAATCAAATTCAAATTCATTGAGAATCTTTACCAAGAAGCACGTTTCCTATACTGACAATGCAAAACGACTCTCCCAGTATAGAAAACGTTACGTCCAGTATAGCCAGCATGGGCTGAGGCCCTCTTATATAAGGATAATAGTCAAATATATACTGAGGAGCCCGTTTCCTATACTAATATTCTATGAAGGCTTATTAGTATAGAAAACATGACCAGCAGTATAGCCCCATATATTGAATTGCCCTTATGACACACCAAACAATGAAACCCCTATACCGTATAACGCATTTCCTACACCAGATGAGAAAAAACATTATTAGTATAGAAAACGGGGCAAGCAGTAAACGGAGTACCCGCAGCATTCCTTGAATTGAGGTTTCAATAATTAAAAGGATGAGGATTGCAAAGCTTTATCAGCGTGCCGAAATTGGAGGCTCAAATTGGAGGAGGTGGTGGTTTTTGTTTCATGGGGCTGGTTCTGCTGAATTCTGATAAGATGGTTCCAATACCTGTCATACGGATAGAACTGAAGGGATTGACTCTCGGGGTTACATAGATGGCTCTTGATGCGCCTGGCAAATCCACAACTGCTGACTGCCAGCGGCATTTGCGAAGCTGCGAGCGTGGGCATTTGGATTGCACAGGCTGTCTTTTCGCAGCAGGCGTCAAGGGTGGAATCCAATTATTTTGTTAAGATCCAACATTCCTCATCATTCTTCATAGCATTTCTTAACAAAGGGTCCCAATGCCAGGCTACTTGGGTCGGCTTCGAAAGAAGTTTCGTGGGTTGGCTTCAGAAGATGCTCAGCTGGCTTGGCGTGGCAAGTGCTGCTTTACCCATCCTGTCACCAAACAGAGCATGTCGTACCTGATTGCAAACTGGGGTGGTGTTGGCGGAAGTGAAGTGTCTGTTGGCTGCTTTATCTGCCATGCAGCATTTGGCAATGGAGCATTTGCTTCGACAGGAGTTTCTAGCAGAACTGCCTTGCAAGTTGGCAATCTATCAATGCATGCAAGCAGCCAGACTCACGTCAAGTCTTTTGAGCATTGGTCAAAGAGCCTGCTTGGCAGCGGGCATGAGCAAGCTGAGGGGCATGACAGAGCTACTGCTGAAGGGTTGGTAAGTGGCATATCAGATAAAATTCCCCGACTAGACCGCTTTGTTCAGGCTCTGGATTTGGTGGCTTCTTGTAAGAGCTATGCACAGTTCCGAGCTCACATTGATGCTCAATCTGTTGGGTCGGCTTTGGAAGCAGGAGGCGATTATTCCGAGCATGCAGCCCGAAGGATGATATTTTGTATGTCCGAGGTTCTTTGTGAGAGGGACCGTGCTATGATGTCAAAGACCATTCTTTCAAGCGTTGCAATTGACAAAACGCAGGATATCCTTTTATTGTATGCCAGATTGCTGACGCCAGAAGGTTTGTATGACTGCCTCATCGGATGCCGTGAGACTTTGCCGGATGTACAGACAACATCTGATGCTCTGCAAGAGCTGATTAAGAAAGCGTGCACCCAACCTGTGGCTTGCAGGAAGGACGGGGCCCTTTATGAACGTCCCGAAGATTCTTTCCTAGCTGCTTCTTGGTAATATTCTGGCAATTGGTTTCTCATCTCTAAGCCTCTAAGCACAGCCGAAAATCTTTGGCCTCCATAGTGGAATTCCATTTAGAGTTCTCCCCAGCTAGTAGTCACCAGGCTTGCCCCACGCAGATAAGGACACATACAGCAAATTTTGCAATTCCGTGGTTTCTGCCGTTGCAGACGGTGGGCCAGTGGAACAGAGGGTTTTATATGACGCATCGCCAAGCAAACCGGGGATCCAGGTTGGGGAGCAACCTTTGTTGCCGAACTGCAAGATCATAACGAGGGATCGTCCGCATCGCTTTCGAAGCGTTCAAAAAGGGTTCTGGGCCAATGCTGGCAGTGCTGTCACTAAGATGCTTGATTCCTTAGTCACCGGGCCGAGAAGTGTGGCCAGGCTCCTGGAAACTTCGTCCAAGTTTGCAGTCAAATTTCAGCAGGCGCAACATGAGGCCAGGAACATCCATTCGGCAGAGGCCTTTGCTGCTACAATCAAGAACCTTCAATACAGCGAAGCCCGGTTCGATTCCAGGACACGGCCTTTGTTCCGACTCTTCCGGCTAATGCCGGTGGTTACAGAGGTACTCGCAGAACTTTCTGCGGACCAGGATGATGCTGAGGACAGCGCATGGGCTGCAGAGCTTCTGGAATCATGGGGTGGTGACACTGGGTTCAGCACACTTGTGCAGGCTAGCGTGGTGGCTGATGCCCTTGTGGTCTCTCAGCCAGCTCTTCGACTGGAAGACAAAGCTGCTGCAGATTGGTCTTTATCTGGGCCTGTTGCTTCAGAGCTGCTCCAGACTCTGAAACATCTCCTTCATGACGGAGGAATATTCCTGGAAGAGGCTGAGGGCACGTTGACACATTCGTGTCTCAGATCGATTCGCGGTAAAATGGTGTACGTTCGCAGTGGCTGTGCAAATGCGAGTGCAGTGGCGTTGCGGTGGCCATCAGCTGACAATCCTGCGCGATTGGCAGTTGTGCAAAAGGCTAAGGAGAATCTGGCCTGACATAATGGTAAAATGTTACTCTCCAATTAGGTTTGCGAGTCTTGATGTCTAGAGTCTAGATTGCTCGTGTGAAGCTGCAATCTTGGGATGAACACATTAAGGCTATTCATGGTGTACGAGGCTTTTTTCAAAGCCAACTTCCCGATGTACGAGGCTCGAGGATACGTGGGCACAAGCTGACCATTCTTGATTTCTCATCATCATAATAACAACGCTACATGTAGCTGGTGTACTGGAAGCTACCCAATGCAGGAAGCGAATGCGTTTGCGGCATTCAACATTGATGCTGAGCTGGTTGTTCAAGATCGCTTCCGCTTCATCCGCTTGCTGAGTCAGAGGTATGGCTTAGACATCAACACTGTTTGGAAACAATTCCTGGGCAATGGAACTACTTCAGGAGTGAGTCAAGCATGTTTCGTTTTGTTTAGGAGGCTTTTCGATCTGGACTTGTGGGGGCTGTAGGCTTCTTTTTGTTTTAATACTGTTTAGAATCAACATTGTTACTGGTTACTTTGTTGGGTGAGGAGCTTTTCACCGTGCAGTGTGGCATGGTTCTAGTGCTGGCCTGGCCTACAAGGCCCTAAATAATGCGAATTCATCATCGCCAGAAGACATACACTCTCCCGAGACTAGATCGCAGAAAGCTTGGTTGGAGTGTTACAAGGAAATCCAAACCAATTCTCCTTGCAAGCAACTGATTGGCATATATTTGGCCAGTTTGTCAGGGACAGGAACTGTTGATCGGTTTCTGAAGTTGGTGGTTTGCGTGAAGGATTACCGCCCGGGCCTTGATCCAAGAGGGGCGACCGCTGCAGTCAAACTGCTCTGCCAGGATCTAGGTGGCAGACGTCGCCAACCTTTACAAGCGAGGGAGCTTTTGGTGGATGCTACAGCCAGGGTGGCTGCAGGAGGCGGCGGGGTGGCCCACCCTATGTCAAAGTTTGGCTTGCGAAGTCAAACCATTTACAAGAACTTGTTTGGAGAACGTCGGTTGCCAGGAAGATCCGTTGAAGTCCTACTCCCACAAGATGTAGCGAAGCGGCGACTTGCTGCAGAGAGACCCCGCATGTCTCATCCAAGGAAGTCTTCAAGCAGTCGCCTGCCCGAGGCAGCAGCTTTGCAGGAGCATGCTGACTCTGTGCATGCAGCTGTCAAGCGGGTGCGAGAAGGGGGTGAAGCTGATGGACCGTTGGGCGTGATTCAGTTGCCCGAACCCGAGGCCAAGAAAAAGAGAGTCATGCAGGAAGCAGCCCAAGCGGCGAACATGATGTACACGGCCATGGCGACAGGTCGGGCACTGGTGCCAGAGCATGTGCCAGCAGATGCAGTACATTTGGAGGAGTCTGCGCAGAGAGCAGTCCAGAAGCGTTGCTAACATAAAAGCCCAAGTATTCTCAGCGTCAGAAGCCAGCAAGCCAGTGCCCTATGTTGATGCCAAGGGAGGGCTGATGCGAGTGAAGCAAGCAAGGGAGGGCCCTGGTCTGCCACCTCAGCTTCCAAACGTGCCCCAGGTTCTTGTCTCTTCGGCAGTTTCTGCTTTGCAGTTTGACAAAGAGAAATACAAAGTTCACATGGCCAAGACCTTTAAGCGTGCAGCAGACATCATGGTGGTGCCAGATATTCATGGGCACTTCTATTCGCCAGAGGCTTTGTTTGCGAGACTTGTGGGATCACACCTGGTGGACCCAGCTTATTTTCAGGGCTGTGGCAAGACCATTTCATTCAGAAGTGCCATGGAAGTAAGGCATTTGATCCTGTATGTGCACAGTTCTTTCAGTGAGCAGCATCCGCAACACAATTTTGTCCTCGAGGCAGCTGCTGCCTTGAGCCCCACAATGGGGCCAAAGGATAAGAGGCCCAAATTTGATCTCAGAGCAGGAGACAGACCACAGGATCCAGTCACTCCAACTATCACGTATCAACTAGTTGGAGATGCCTTTGAGGCCACGGCTGACCAGGACAGAAAGAGACTTTGGCGCCTTGATGATCTTTTGAGATTCTGCACTTTTGTGTATGACAAGATCCCAGAACATGAGGAGTCATCAAGCAGCAGTCGCGCTGTGTCTTCTGCAATTGTGCATGGCCAAAGAGCCATGATGTAGATAGACGGCCCATTCAGGTGAAGGATTCGAGGGAGAAATTCATATGTAGAAGGTCCTTTAAATAATTAACAATTAGGAACGACTTCCTAGCAATGAGGCCTCAGAATGCCAGCCAGGAAAAAAGCTTACCCGGTCATAGACGGATGCTTCTACACTCTCTTGCTCCAGCGCATGCCCAATCCTCTGCTGCCAAGGCCCAGAATTCTTGGAGTTCCTGTTGCATGGAGCCCGGTGAGACACTGCCTGTGCTGCAAACAATGTTGATAATGATCTAAACCCTAATTCTTAAACAGTCTTAACATGCGAGTGGAGGCTGTTGCATGCGTAGTATGTACTGTTACTGTCTGCAGAAATTGCTGCCTGCGGGTGGGTTGGAATGAGCCTGCTAAGCGGTGAGGTGCTTGTCAATGACGATCACCACGCTGTGCGATGCTTGCTGGGCCCCTGGAGATTGATGCTCTGGCACTTTGATATTTATGATTCATAGAAATCAAGACCCCAGATCTGGACTCATTGTAAAGACGTCATTTTAGAGATTATGTTGGGAGTCCAGGTCCGGACCTGGACTCACAACTCAAGGGTTTCGCTGTCCAGTGATTAGCGGCAGACATCATTCCGACAACGTCACATGCGTTACAACGGGGCCTCCGGGGGTAGTATTTCAGAGTCCAGGTCCGGACCTGGACTCATAAGACAGGCCACGAGATCACGAATCTCTTCAGAGTCCAGCTTTTCCAATTTGCGTAGGCCTGCCTGAGATGTATTATCCTCCAAAGCAATTTTGGCTGCCTAAGCTTTTGAGTAGCAAGGCGTCATTGTGATTGTAGGGATGGCCCCTCGGATGAGTAAGCATGCGAAGCCTGCTGTGCGCAAGAGCACGTGCAAGAAGCCAGCAGCGAAGCAGGCGGTTGTCACTTCGAATTCTTCTGTTGTCTTCACGGACATTCCGTTCAGCTGCACAGACTTTGCACGCGAGTGCATGGATCATCTAGGGGTAGCCCCTGCTGCTGGTGCCAAGCTACACTTGGCAACTGCGTGTTCGGGGTTCCTTGGTTAGAACATGATGTTGCTTGACGATGTTGCTGCTTTCAAGTTTACTAGAACAACTCTCCCTTGTGTTATTGGGTTTGGGTACTCAGGCTGGGGGTGCCGGCAATGGTGCTCCGTGCCATCATGGAGGATGTGGTCGAGACCACATCGTCAGAGATTAACGAGGGCAGCGCACATGTTCTGTTGCGAAATGCAAGGTGTCCACCATTGCAGCTGCACAGGAACGTGATAGAGGTGGCGAGGGGCAAGTCTTTCTGTTACATAAGTAATCGGAGGACGCACCTTTCGACTGTCACACCGGATATCTTTGCTGCTGGGTACCCTTGCAACAGCAACTCTGTGCTGAACCAAAACAGGTGGAAGCCAGGCTGCGATGCAACAGAGACAGAGCACGCACTTGTGCTGCCAGCAGTGGTAAGTGTGATCCATCAGCTTCAGCCACGTGCTTTCGTACTCGAGAATGTAGCGGGTATTTTGTCTGCCCGCGGCGGAAAGAGTGAAGACTCTGACAAGCCTGTGATCCAGTGGGTGGAGGCACAGCTCCAGGATACCCTTGGTCAGCAGTATGCTTGGATAACCATGAGATTGTCCAGCGTGCCTCTGCATTCTGACTGCAGTAGGCGTGTCGGTGTGTATGTGTGTGCGCATTCTGTGTGTGTCAGACATGTTCTCTCGGGAATAAACCAGCAACAGTGATACTTAGGCCAACAAGCCGAGATCGTGTTTTCACAATTGGATTGCGCAAGGATGTGGCAACTGCCAGCAGCCAGGGGCTTGCCGGCCTGCAGCATGACATTAGCACCATGCTCTCCTTCGCAAAAGAAATGCCCATCCATCATATCCAGACGTTCTTGCGCAAAGATGTTGCCACCCAGCAGGGTGATGACGCTGTGATTGTTGAGGGTGACCCAATGGAAGATGATGCCGATGAAGTGTGGGAGAGATCAATGGCTCCCTATGCGTGCTGTCTTGAGAAGGCGCTCCAGAGGGCACAGGTCAAAGGCCGAATTCCGGCTGACAGCAAGCTGCTGCTCCCGCAGGAGTCCAGAATGTCGACAAATGCGCCGCATTGCGATGAGACCCCATGGATGCGTGCCCAGATCGACACGCGACTTGATGCAATATATTATATTGTTGACCAAGCAAGCCATTCATGAAATCAATTCCCGCCAAGTGTTACGCATTCCAAGGTACGAGCTCATCATCTTGCACATGACGGCTGGCATGAATGATGCTGAGAACCTCCATCCCATAGCCAATGTGGGCCAATCCTGTGAGAGAGGCGAGGTCTTCATTAACGGCACAATCCCATGCGTTGCGACATCAGCCCGGCTGTTTGACTACAAGTTCAAGAGGTGGGGGTCTAAGAGCTTGTTTAAAAGATTCTCTTTTGATTGGCATCCCCTGGAGGTTTGTGACTCCATCCGAAATTGCTGCCAGCATGGGAATGGACAGCATCAGCTTTGAAGGCGTGACAGAGAAGCAGGCAACTGCTATTCTAGGCAAGTCAATGGTTACCACAACCTTGGCAATGATTTTCGTGCCACTCTTGAAATGTTTGCAGCTGTGCCGCACCACGGCGCACATGTAGAGCATCCCCATCTCGCTTTGATAGGAGCGATTTTGATTTCGGAAGGATGCGCTTGGATCCCACCGTGGCTTCTTGGAGGAAGCAGTTTGGACACCAATCCTGTTTGGCCATGTCGGCCTCCAGCGTAAAAGGCGGCCACTGTGTTCATTCATGACACACGGCTCCAACTTGTGTAATCCAGACCCCAAGCACTGCACGAAGCTTGCCTTTCTTTTATTGTTAGGTCGAGGCTCAGCTAGACTGTTAGGTCTTGGCTTAGCGACGGGGCTTGCTGGAGACATGGCTTCTCAGAACAAGAGGAAGGCAGATTCGGAGAGCCAGGCGAGCCAGGCTGCGCGTGTGATAGGCAAGCAGCCTCCAGCAGCCAGGCAAAGCAAAGCTGCCAAGTCTCAGGCCTTAGCTTTGGAGGACTTGACAAGGCATGCAGATGCAGAAGCCAGCCATCCAACTCTTGCGCATTTGCGAAACGCGATAGCAGACTCGAAGCTACAGAAGTGGTTGGCTGAGCATCGGGCAAATGCGGGCTATGGAGGGATAGAAAGCTTCAACGAGGACAACTTTCTGGCGGCCATGCGCAGTGTGGGTCAGTATACATGTTGCATTAATGCTCAAAGCATTGATCCGACAACTGTGACCCACAAAGGCTTGATTCCGAGCTTGGTGAGTGTTGAGAAAGTGAAGAGCACGGTCTGGGCAAGGGATAAGCGAATGCTGTGGTCCGAGCCGGTGCATGTTGCCGTGTTCTCCAAGAGCCAGAAGCCGACATGCCTCATCCCCTTGAACCAGGATGTTGCCAGGATGGCTTTTTGGCGCCCAAGCTTCACTTGGCCGCTGTTGTGGTCATCTAGGTCCGAGCAGGTTTATACAAGTAGCCCATTCTTCAGCTAAGGTGCCAATGCGCGCAAGCCGTGCAGGAAGGGTGGCAGGATGAGCTGGAAACAGCTTTGCAAGGCATGAAGGTGACCTTCCAATATTGTGCGGATGACGAGGAAGCTGAGAGTCAGAAGTGGTTTCTCTCCAGCCGTGTGGATGTTCTCTGACTACATAGTTGCATACAAACACGCGTGCCTCAGTTACAAACTCCTTGTCCCAACCCATCCCTGGTTCCTGTTCCCAGGTTCTCAGCGAAAACGCTGTGCTGCGTGGGTGGAAGCGCATCATCGCAATTGTGGGCATCAAAGGGCAACTAGCAGTTTGGTGCAAGGATTCCAGTGACGATGCCGTGTCTTGGCCGGCCTTCAGGCCTTGCGAGCTTGTTGCTTGCCCTGCTACAAGTGCCTATCTTGAATGTTTGCTGAGGTGTCCGAATGGCTCGTGAAGCAGAAGGTCCATGTCTCCGGTGAGACGATTCGTGTCATGGTGGCTGTGCGTAACCGCACCTAGGTTGGATCTCGGGTTGTTTGTTCAGATTCAAGATCTGTGGTGCCTCTGTGCTTCCATTCTCATGTGTCTGTTGGCCTTTGGCTTTTCATTTTTTTATTTCAGGCTTCCTGGCGGCTGGCCTGGACAATGCCATGGACCTTCTTGAGCAGAAGCACGGAGTGAATCATCCTTTATCTGGAATGGCTGTTCTGGAAAAGATCTGCCAATACACCAAAGCTGACAAGTCAGACCCGGCTCTGAACAATGCTCTTCTCACCTGGGTGGTTCATGATCTGGATTGCGCTATGCGGAACCTCGGCGGTGTGATTCATGTAAGCGATTCATGTAAGCACAGTGGACATGGCAAATGAATGCTTCCCAGGACCCGTGTCCTGACTTCTGCGGACAACAAGGCCAAAGTGTTGCTCCTGGCCAAGTGCTCGCTGCTGAACAGACGCATCTGCTACTACGTGATCAGCAAGCTGCGCCTGAGCAAGAATGACTTGAAAAATGTAAAGAAGCACACTGACTTCAACTTTGGTGCCTCTTCTGATGGGCGGTCAGCAATGGGGTTCTACAATAACTTCCTGACGCATGATGCGTATGAAGCCTCGGAGCTCAACAAGCTGATTGCTGATAAAACGTGGCTCTCCAAACTCCTGGACTTCCAGAGGCAGTCCCTGGAGACGCTGAGATTGTGTTTGGATCCCTCCCCGCAATTCTACCAGGCCTTGCAATCCAGCATCGAGAAGGATGCAAATATCTCCGCGGAGCAATGCTTGCAAGATCCTGCTTGGGTGAAGTTGGTGCCGCTCCAGGACCTCATCATGGGCAAACAGTCTCTCAGCTTGATTGCGTGTGTGTCTACACGGTCTGCTGTGCCGTGTGCTTCACATGTCATGAGTCGCAGGTTAGAGTTGGATGCCTTTCTTCCGCGACCAGATTCTGAGTGCATCGTGCCGGAGTCGGTGCACGTGCCAAGCACTCCGGCAACTGA